ATAGCACAACTTTTATAGGACTCTGACCTGCAGATAATTTTAGAGGTTATTGTTGAATTGAATTTGACTAAACCGAACTATTTATGTTATCAATACCTCTGTCTCAAGGGAAGAAAACTGAGGACAGTTTGTATGGGGTATCGATTTAAAACGACTTTGTTTTTCTTCCACATTGCCTTTAAGTGATTAAACCTTTTTGCAAATGTATGGTGGCTTGCCTATTTTTTTTTTTCATTTTGATTTATCTTGCTGTCACTCATTTGACTTGAAAGAAAATGGCTTTTCAAAATGAAACTGATTTCTGTTTTGTTATATTATGATTTGCTCTGTCTATTAATAAAGTTTATCTTGTTTTGCAGGTGATTCGGAGAAGTTGGTGAGGGTGTTATTTGAGTTAGCTCGGCACCATGCACCCTCAACAATATTTCTTGATGAAATTGATGCTATCATTAGTCAACGTGGTGAAGCACGCAGTGAGCATGAAGCAAGTAGACGCCTTAAGACTGAGCTACTCATACAGGTGATGCATGTTGTTTTCATATTGAACATGCCTTTTATCATGTTTAAGTTATTATGATTGTGGAATGGCTGGTCAGCAAACGCTTTCATTTTGATGAACTGCTGGTTACTTATGACCACCATGAACCCTAAACGATTGTTTCTTTTATAAGATTTAATGTTTGAAAACTCCTTCGACATGGTTTCATCTATTAAATGCTGGAGCTCGATGCACTGATTTCTTATGATAAAATCTTATCGTCAGTTTACTCTATTTGCTGTAATACAATCTTGGAAAGTTAGCGGTTACATGTTTTTTTATTTATTTATTTTTTTTTTTGCGTTTGAGATTGTCAAAAAAAAATAATAATAATAAAGTTTGAGATTTACCGGTAAGGTGATGATCACACTTTTTTTTTTCTTTTTCCATCACGTAAATCCTCAACAATCCAAGAAATGACATTTTTGCACCCGTAAAAGTAGTTTCATGATTTCTTAGGCCTTTAGCGCCTTTTTTTAATGTCACATACAGACATATGAACAATGTACTTGCTGCAATTCCTGAGTTATTCTAAGGACTTTCAGTCGCTTTGGGACTTACTCATTGCCTGATAATATTCTGATGGACTTTAGATGGACGGTTTGACAAAAACCGATGAACTTGTTTTTGTTTTGGCGGCAACAAATCTTCCCTGGGAATTGGATGCAGCTATGCTCCGACGTCTTGAGAAGCGAGTATCCTTCAAATATATAATTGCTTTATTGGGTTTTGATTTACATGCAACACAGTACGGGTTAATAGTCAAGAAATGAAGAAACATGAATAGCCCCATTCATTGTGGAACACATACACAGCTAGCACTAACTGTCATATCCTAGAAATTTTATACTATACATGTACATATTTTTAAAGAAAGCATATACAAAAGCCTGGTTGGATTTTTAAAAAGCCCATCCCATGATCAATAATTCCATGACTTCATGTTAGACTATAGGCTAGGAAATTGATCACGGGCAAGGAAGTTTAAAGAAATATTGTATATCAGTTTTCTGGAGCGTGAAATAACCACTAGGGCATTTTCAATGACTTCATGTTTTTCAGACTTTGTAATTTGGATTTTTTTTTCTCTCATTAATGAAACTTTAATTACAGCTACATGACATAGTTATTCCACAAAATAATGGAAACTGTCGTCTGGGGTTTAATCTTTGTGTTTCAACTCAGGATTCTTGAGATTTATTGAGATGATACTTTATTAAGTGGAGATATTTCAAACATACAGCAATCTATTGTTCTTTTGGATCAATTTGCTGGATATTCTTTTGGTTGATTTTGTAAGATATCATACATATACTGCCTATTTCATTGTTTAGTGTAGAGTTGAAGACTTCATGGCAGTTCACTACTTCACTTTGTCGACGACGGAGAGTAAATCATAGTTCATTTTGCATTTTATATGATGTCAAACTAAAATTAATCTTGCAACTAAAAATCTGGGTGATTCTAATCCGAAGGTTATCCCTTGACAATGATCATAGATCCTTGTACCACTTCCAGAGCCAGAAGCAAGAAGAGCAATGGTTGAGGAACTGCTTCCGCAATATCATGGTGAGGAGCAGCAGATCCCCTATGATTTATTGGTGGAGCAAACAGAAGGATATTCAGGCTCAGATATTCGGTTACTGTGTAAAGAGGCAGCAATGCAGCCCTTGAGACGCCTGATGTCACAACTTGAACAGAAACAAGAGTTGGTGCCTGAAGAAGGTATGCATGCAGTCTACTTCTTCCCCCTTTTTTTTCATTTTTTGGACTACTTCCGTTTTTTTTACACAATCAAAACTTCCATAGAACATATGGTTCCTTTTTTTAATAAGCAAAACAACAATTTAAAAAAAAAAAAAAGGTAAGGTACACTTTTGTCCCTAAAGTATTTTCCGAGAAGCACCCAGCACTCTAACATTTTTGTTGGAGTAATTTTGTCCTTAACGTTATCAAAACAGAGCATTTTTGTCATTTCCGTCAAATTTTATAACGGTCAATGTTTGAGGTCAACATTGAAAATTTAATAAAAAGGGTAAAAATATTCTGTTTTGATAATTTGATGGAAATTTGATGTAAAGGTGTACTTTTGTCTTTGAAGTATTTTTTGAGAAGCACCCAGCACCCTGGCATTTTTGTTGGAGCAATTTTGCCCTTAACGTTATCAAAACAGAGCATTTTTGTCATTTCTGTCAAATTTTTTAACGGTTAATGTTTGAGATCAACATTGAAAATTTGATGGAAAATACAAAAACGTTCTGTTTTGATAAAATTAAGGGCAAAATTAATTTAACAAAAATGTTAAGGTGTTGGGTGCTCCTCAGAAAATACTTTAACAATAAAAATGCACATTTACCTAAAAAAAAAATTTCATGACATCTTACCTAAATTGCCTTTCAATAAATGATAGTATTATTAAATTAGAAAAATATTAAATAGTAATTATAAGGACATTTTAGTCAAAATTTCAATTTCAAACATGATTATTAGAATTAACTAACTTTTTCAAACTGTGTAAATTTGTTAAAATTTGTTTATATTTGAAAGTGGATGGAATACGGAATCAAGCTTCAATGTGGTTATTTGCTAGAATTTGTCCCCACTATAAGAACTATTCATAAGGTCGTAAAATGTCGTAATAATCAGTGACTATTTCAAAGTATTCACGATTTCACATGTCATGAACCCTTTCATCCATTTTGAAATTTACCTGAGAAAAGAAACCATATTTTGGTATGTGTTCTTGGAAACAGTTTTCTAGTTTCTAAAATAAGTAAAAGAAAACATTGAAATGCTGTTTTTGAAAACAATTTTATTAATTTTTTTCATGACAAAAAATAGGATCAACTGTAACATGTTTTCAAAAACACAATTTTAATAGCTTTTGTATTATGGCAGTCACAAATATCTACTTAGATTCATTCATGAAATTTTGACGGTTATCAAACTGCTGATATCTTATTCATGTCGTTTATATTCTCTGAATCTAATTAATGCTATATTTTAAAATTTTTGAATCAATAAATTCATAGCAGTTTTCGCTGAACAGTTTGGACGTAAAAACATGTGCATTTTATCCTGTGAATCTTAAGTACAACTGTTTGTTGGGGTTGGTTTCTCAAATATAATCCATCCATATTGTGTAATATTCAGGGCTTAAGATTTATCTTCACTTACCATAAACTAACAGTGAGTGTTTTAATGCAGAGTTGCCAAAGGTCGGGCCAATCAGACCGGAAGATATAGAGGTAGCTTTGAAGAACACACGACCGTCTGCTCATCTGCATGCCCACAGATATGAAAAGTTCAATGATGATTATGGTAGTCAAATTCTACGTTGACAATATGTAGCTTTGCTTTGCTTCGGTGAGTTGGCCATTGGAAATTACTGCTTTTCATATCTTGAATTGCCAACACATGCACCCCTCAGACGTGAAAACTGAAAAGTGGGCACTAATTCTAGTGTCTGAAGAATGAGCGCAAAGATGAAAGGGAAGGGATGTCATCATTTTTCTGGAGAAAACAATATAATAAAATTTAAGACATTAATAACATTTTTAGCTGCTTGCTTATGTTTGTAACACTTGTTTCGGGCTTATTTTTACTTTAACTATTTAATATATAATATTATCCGATTAAATTTGAGTCCCTTCAAACCCAATTTAAAAGCAACTCTTCTAGCATGAACGGCTAGTTTAGTATTAGCAAGAATCAAAAGCTTCCAAGAAAAGAATTGTCAATTAAAATTTCATGTCCCGAGAGAAATTAATAGTGGCCGATAGAATTGCCCTGGAGTGCCTTAAAATGAAACGTTATTTCCAATTTTCAGATTGTGTCCCAGCATACTTGGAAGCCTTGTTGTCTTCAGATACTATGGGATGTCAATCCCTTCCTAGTGGTTATGTGTGTAATTAGTTTCTGGGATTAGTTTCCCTCTTTTTATCTAAAAGGGAAAAAAAAAAAAATCGTAACACACGCACGCAGATTATGTTTGAATACATGTAAATTTATATCAGAACTAAATGTCCTTGAATCTTAATTCAAATTCAAATTGTATTTTAATTCTTTCATAATTTAAAATTCTTTTTAAATTTGCATTTCACATCTTTGTATAGACCTTTAAAACACTATTTAACGATAATTATTTTTATTATTTCAATTATTCAAATAAAAAAATTTAAATATATACATCTAAAATTTTAAATATGAAATTCCGAATTCAAATTTACCGATCTAATAGGCTAAAATATTTCTTGTTGAGCTGGGCATTTGAAAGATCAAAAGACATCACTTTCAAATGTTATACACTGCTAAGTAACTCACATAGATTAGTGATTAATTGTTACTTTCCCTATAATAGTACGCATGTTAACATGGATAAAATTGTTGGGGGAGGGGGGATTATGGTACGTGTTTGGATGGGAAGAAAAGTTGGAAGGGGAAAAAAAAAAATAGAATATCCTAACCGAAGAAGAAAGACGGAGTAATAAAACAGAAAGATATCGTTCTTGAACACAAAAACAAGGTAAACGTCCCATCTACGGCCTACAGATGCCATCAAGCAAGAGCCCAATAATCATGACATAACATATTTTTCCATTTTTTTCTTTTTCCTTTTCTCCTGCCACCCAACATACGATTTCCTATAGGAGACTTGAAGTAGAATGAAGGAAATCAAGCCATTCTCTACAGACAGGAATAACACAAGAAGAATTACATGCGTCTTCTCTCCCTCAATTGAAACCCTTTAGGGGGTCAGCTGTTTTTCCAGATCTTGCATCGGTCCATGCTTTTGCAATTGTTCTCTTCATTTCTTCATCTCCTTCCTCATACATGTTCTGCAATAATGCCCATCCCACGCTTAGTTAAAATAACAAACATTTAAAATCTTTATATTCAGATGATCTTAGTGCAAAAACAAGAAATTAATGTAAGACATACATTCATACATTCGAAAAAGACAGCTTCAAAAATATACAAGATGTACATCTCATTTTTATTATATGTTGATAATTTCTTTCTTTTTTCTTCCTCCTCTATATCCTATACACTATATGCATTTAATTTTTAGATGTATTTACAAATGTGAATGGCAAGAATCTAAATCTAAATCTAATGCTAAAAACAGTTGTTCCTCTCGAAATTAAGCCTCTCACCATCATATCAACATTGCAAGTCTAATTTTCTAATTATTAATATGAGAATCTCATTATGCATGCAATAGTCATGGTGAGAAAACCTGACCTCTTAAAAAGAAAAATCTCGTTAATATAAGAATGAACAATAACATCATTCACAGACAGAGAGATATCTTACCTTCATCAAGTCCATGATTCCAGCCATAGGGTCCTTCTCTTTATCCATTTTAGGTTTCAACTGTAGCATTGGGGGAAAAAACAATTAGCATGACATACTGCCAAGTAAGTAGAAAGAACTATCATTCCACTCGCAACATTTCACTACCTTGTCTTCTTTGAAGTGAAGATCTAGCCAGTTTCCTTTGGAAGCCTTGACCAATGTGATGATCACCCTTGTAGGCTTCACCAACACTTTGCATTTCTCAGGTACTATCTCACTGTGCAGTTTTGGTATGGCACATCGGTAGTTCTTGCCCTGGATATCATGGAATTTCACATCAAAGGACATTGGCTTGAAATCGGTCTCTATCTTATTCTCCTCAACTCCCTCCAGAGATACATATATCTGCAACACGAGATTAGGAGGAAAGGAAAGGAAACTAAATCATCAAGGAAAGAGAAGATTCTGATAAAATATTAGACGCAGCATAGCATTTACAATCATAACCACCGATTTACTTCAAATTGAAGGAATACAATGAGATGCAACTAGAACGACAATGTTACTACTTATTAATCCCAAAAATAATTAAATGTCCTCACATGAGGATCCTGATCTGGAGAAGGGATGCCGATATCATTATCCTACAGGTGGCCCCTAAAAATAAAGTGTTATTTGTTCTTACCTTGACTTTGTCATTATCTTGATCCCAACTGAATGAACTAAGCGTTGCATACTTGAGCGCTGGAACGGATGGCACCTTAGTTCCACTTGAAACTGGAGCTGGAATCTGTGGCGGCGGCACAGAAGGTGTCTCCTTTGATAACTGCAAATTAAACCAACAATACATTAGGCACTTTATGCAAAAATTCTGCCAGGATGAAAAGCCACAAAACGTTCTCATATGCATCATCACTACCCTTAAGCCCAACTAGTCTGAAAACCAGTAGCACCTTCTCCACAGACTTAAACGACACGAAACATGTCCCGAGCATTCCAATTGTTATAAAAACACTAAGTAACCCAAAAATCAACATGAAGGAATCAAGTCGTCAACCATGAAAACTGAGAAGCTGACTACTTCAATTTATCTCAGAAAGAAAAAAAATACCCAAGACCTCAGTATGGACACGGAGCTGTAATACAAAGATTGAAGTAAGGATTGTGACAGTTTTGATTGGAGAAGCTAATATCAAAGATATAAACAACTATACATAAGTTTAGTCCCTTCCCATTCCATCAGTTTGAATTGCAGGAAAGATCTTCTCAGCAGTGAATAATACGCATACGAAAAGGCTTTTTAATAAAACAAAAAAGAAAATGGAATAGCTTTCCTTGCAGCCCATCAAGCAGGGTTTTGGCCAACCTCAAGATCTCAAAGCATTGTTAAGATCTCATTTCTAAGTACAAAGCACAAAAAGAAATCTAGCTTCAACACATATTTCAATCACAGAAGTGCACTTGAATGAAATAGAATGTGATGAACTGTGACCTTGGCCAAATCAAAGTTCTGCTTGATTAGTAAGCTATTAAAACATCAAGGTGAATTGTTTAGGACGTTGTGTCCAAGTTATGCTGCTGTTAGGGGTATGGCTCACAGAACAGCAAAAGCCTTCTAGGCAAACTCAAACGAAATGGATCTTTGAGAGACTAGCGAGATGACTTTCCTTTCGTGCGTCTTTGTGGCTTGACAAATCTGTTTTTTATCCTTTTATAGAATTAACAAATCTATCTTTTATAAACTGTGTTTCCAGAAAAACTGATTTCTATAGAAGCATTTAGACACGAGTGAGCACTGCAAACTTAATAAACACAAGAAACTTGACACGAACAGAAAAACCACATGCCAGGTCTTTATTTATAAATCAATAATTTACTGCCATCCTTCCGAACTCACAAACAAGTAATGATAGGAAGATTTTATCTGTCAGTTGTTTCCCTCTGTAACAATGACAATCCTTTCTCACCACAGCAAACTATTACTTGAACAGTATCCGTGCCAAAATCAAATTATTAAAAAAAACACAAGAGTGCTAAACTAATGAAAAAACACACAATCGAAGATCAAAATTGAATGATAAATTCTATCTTAAAAATACCTTTTCCAAGTTGTTAATCTCGGAATAGAGGAGAGAGATGATTCTGGGCCGTTTTGCGATGCTCTGCAAGTGACGAAGTTCTTCCAAATCCAATGCCAAGTCTTCAGCCATTGCGTTAACCAAAGAAGTGAAGAAGGCGAACGTGAAGCGCAGGTCGATAACGTTGATTTGAAGATGTTTTATACAGCGTGCAGAACTGGAAAATGCTAGAAGCTCCCAATAAATATAAGTAAATGATCTGAATATATCAGGGACAAATTGGGAATTGCAGAACTCTTCTATTAGGGTTTTCTACTTTTCTCCGTTCATCAGAGAAGATTCTAGAGAGAGAATTAGGAAACATATTCGTTCCTTGCATTGTACTCCCAATTTGATCATTGGTCATTGGTCAATAGGGATGAAACACGTGTCAACAGCTGTCTGTAATGGGTGGACTTGATCTAAGGTCTAGAAAGCCTAATAGGGCTGTAAGTGGATGAAGGGTGATGATGATAATGTCAAACCAGGCACTTTGCAAGATTGATCGAGTAACTAGAATATTAGATATTGGGCCAGTAATTTGTAAGGCCCATTAAACTTTTGTATTCTTTTATTGCAAATAAAATAGTTTTTGGAAAAAATTACAAGCAGTTCCATATAAAAAATTTATTTATAAATAAATTTTATAAATTTATAAAATACATTCAAATCCCACAAAACTTGATTATAATTAATTTACTATATAAAATAATACAAATGTCATTAGACTCTCATTCATTTTATTAATGTTGATTGACCACTAGCAATGGTTGATTTTTGTCTGTGAGTGTTAACTTGTTAAAAATAAATTTTTTAAAAAAATATGTTTATTAAAATATTAATACTTTAATGTTTGTAAGTCAAACATCACATGTTAACAAGTATTCTAATTGCTTCCTCAAGTGCACTGAATTAGTGTAGTAATAATTTTCAGAGTATTTTAGGAGTCAAACATAAAATAAAACAACTAACTTTGTTATTTTATAAGAGTAAATAGTTAAAAGAGGATTTAATAATTAGATGAAGGAATGTAAATAAGAAATAACAATAGAAAATGATGAACTAAATCAATCAAAAGAGCATTAGGGATTACGATTCACTTGTTGAGATAGTTTGCTCTAATTTAGTTAATTATCTTCCTTTTTTATTTATAGTGATAACCATTACTAAATTATTCTAATTACTTTTCAGTATATTAGGTGTATTTAACTAGGTTTGAATTAGCTTCCATGTAACTCAAAAGGCACTAATTAGATATTAAAGGTTCGATCTAAGCCATCACAAATTTCAAATTATTCTTAATTTAGTTACTTGCACTATCTCTCTAGATATGGGCTAGTTCTTCACCTCTCAATTCATTGAACAACCTACAAACAAATTATATAGTGGTCACATATATGATAAGGCAAAAAGGACAAGAGAGGTAAATATAAATGAAACAAAAATTTATATTCAATGGAAAAATAAAATAACCAAATAAAAGAATAAAATCCATCTTAGTCAGGTTACTTTTTATTGTAAAATCCTGAATTTTTATGAAATTTATTAAGATAATTGAGGTTAAACTTGTAAAACAATAAGGTAATTAAGTTTATTGACTTTGCGGTTCACTAATGAGTTTATTGGATTATTGAGCAGCTTTAGAGCTGGGTTAGGACAGTGTTTGAGTCAACAAGGCCTAAATAAAGGCTTAAAATGTTGGACCTAATTGTTGTGTCATCCGCCATGATGAAGGTTGGTGTGTTGTGATAGACTAACCCGATTTTGGTTAAATTGGGTTGATGAAAGATAGAAGGAAAGAAGGCAGCGAAAGGAAAAATGGAGAGAACTCATCTTAACTCTACCAGGGATTTGTTTTCGTTCTCATTAGGAGTAATTTGAGTTTGGTTGGAGCTAGATAAGTTTTTTACACTTTTTCCTTTGCCTCTCTATATGATTTTTAATATGATTTTGGGGTTATAGGATGGTGATTTCTGTGTTGGGAGTGATTTGAACAAATCTATTTTCTTGTATGAAGCCATTAAGAGTTAATTTAAGTTTCTATATCTATGGTTGGAGAGTTTATAGTGTTTTGGAGTTGGGCTCTAAGGTTTGAATGATCCTTAACATCAAATTTATATATTTAGTGTGATTCAAGAAGGGTAAAGGAAGACTAAAGAGAACACTTTTGAAGGTTGTTGAGCAAAATCTTTTAATTAACAATATTCCTATAATCCTAATAAATGATAGAAGACAATAGTATCATGTAATCTATGTAGCCAATCTCACCTAATGGAATAAGGTTTGTTGTTGTTGTGGTGGTGGTGGTGGTGGTGTGATATGGGTTATAAATTAGTGTTATTTAGCTCTATGAAAGTAAAATGAGGTTAATGAGACATTGTTAATTAGAGTGTTAGTTTAGCCCAAGATAAAAGTTTTAGGTCATGAGTAACCTATGTTAGCTAAATATGCTTACGTTAGAGTTAATAATTAACAACTAGCACTAAATCTTGTAAATTATAGTTGTTTGGAGTTTTCTTAAGCTTGAAGAGACTTGAGAAAATATTGAATACTACAGGTAACCTTTTTTGATAATAAAAAGGCTAAGGTAATAGGATAAACTACTCCATTTATTGGCTTGTTAGAATATATATAAGGTTTTTAAAATGTGTAATGTAACATTTCAAAAAATTCAACTCTGATTAATTAAGCTAAATTAAGGTAATATAAAATGGACCTATATCATATTTCTTTTTTCATATTTATAAGTCACATCCAACATTTTCATAGAATTGAGAAAAACTTTAAATCTCATTAACTATGTATAAAAATTCAACAAGTTTTCTACTTTATTCCTTATTAAATATACATACTTTAAAATAAAATAATCTAGCATTTTCAAAATGGCAAAGATACATACAATAATTATTGAAATATTCTATAAATAGGATCAAAATAAATTGTTTCTCTATAGAAGTAGAGGAGTAAAATTTATGTGTCAACGTTTTGCAATATTAATTAATACTTTAATATTTACAAATTAATTAAAGATCTAGAATTTACACACTTGTAAGTTAAAATATTTAAATTCTAAATTGTTAAATTTAACTTATAAATTCAAGAAATTGATCACTTATTAAAACGAAAAACTTGGGAAACATAAACCATAGGCCCTTTTTAGTATAAGGTATTGAATTTTATAGGATTGAGATTGATATTGAATCTGGGATTGAGATTGAGAATAAATTTTAAAATCATGTTTGATATATCATGGGATTAAAAAAAATGAGATTCAAGTTTAACCAAAAAAGTAGTTAAAAGACAATATTGCCTTCATCTTCTCCATCATCCTCCTTACCGACGAACATCATCATCCTTATCAACGAACATCATCATCATCCTCTCTCTCTCTCCCCCTCACTCCCTCCCCTTCTCCTACTGCAACCTTCACAATTGAAGCATATTTTCATTTGCAGGAAGCAAAAAAAAAAAATCAAACAAGAAGTAGAATGCATAGATTTAGGATTTAGGAATGTCGGATGAGAAAATTGATTTTGATATGGAACCTGACTTCATAAACCCAGGATCAGATGAGGAATGATGATGAAGAACAATGATGAACCCAGAAGCGAATGATGGACGGCAAAGAGTCACCTAACCCCCCACCGTCTCTACTCCTGTTTGCACTAGCGCCAACATCGTTGACGGAGGGTGGCTCCGTCTCTATCCCCTTGCTCTTATTATGTCCCTGTCATGTGATGGCAATGATGGAGGGGAGTAATCATGGTTTTAGCCTTTTGAGGAAGGAGATGAGTCCGATTTGGCAACTTTTTTGTGAGGGTATTTTAGTCATATAAATTTCAATCTCAACATTGAAATTACAATACTAAAGGGGAGGTAGTACTGGATATTTTCATCAAGATGGGATTGGGTTTAGGAATAAATTTGCCGTTATCACCTACCAAACATAAAAACTTGACATTCCCCAATCCCAAACCCAGTCCCACTTAGCCAGTCCTATGTACCAAACAAGCCCATATGATCCTTGAATTGCCTCACTAGGCCATTATTGATTATTGTAGAAAAGAAAAATAAAGGAAAAATATCATTCAAAGACTATGGTGCATATTAATATCGAATAAGGATTAAAAATTTGAAATATCATTGAAGAATCAAAGGATTGAATTGAAAATAATTTTAAATGAAAAAAACTATAATATCCTTTCTTTTTTTTTTATTAACAAGTAGTCATTTATTAATTAATAAATAATCAATTGTATTTAACAAGAAATCACTTGCTAATTGACAAGTTCATGAACCTAAAAGAGTTTGGTTGTGGGAAAGGACAAGCATATATTATATTCAAACAAGTAGCCGTTCTATAATTAACAAATACTTATTCATATTTAATAAGTCATTTGTTAATTGACAAGTTCAAGAATTTAAAATAGTTTGGTTGTGGAAAGGAACAAGTGTAGATCATGTTTTAATAAGTAATTATGCATTAATTAACAAGTACTTATTTGCATTTAATAAGAAACCATTTGTTAATTGATAAATTAAAGAATATGAAAAGGCTTGGTTGCGAGAAAGGACAAATATATATCATATTTCAATAAGTAATCATTCATTTATTTACAAGTGCTCATTCGCATTTAACAAGAAGTCATTCGCTAATTAACAATAATTAAAAAAAACAAAAAAGAAGGGGTATTAGTTTTTTTTATATAAAATTATTTTTAAATCAGTCATGTAATTTTATAGTGATATTTCAAAATTTTTGTTGTTATTGTTCGAAATTAAATAGGCACAGTGATGGTTGAATGATACTTTCCCAGAAAGAAACAAGATGTAAAAATCAATCATGTTCAGGTTATTGCTTGTCTTCATTTTGGGGCATCACACGATGAGATCATTCGCAGAGTCATTGTCCATATCTTCAAAATGCCATGTGAACTCTCAAGCCCCTCCACTGTCTCACATTATGTTTGTGGTCTCCCCACCCATAAAATTGAATGCCCGTTACTTGCACCACCAGGCTTCGTCTTCAACTTTTTTTCCCCACCAATTTTTTTTTCTTTTTAAAAACATACTGTGCATATATAAACATAGATGATATTTCATTCGGTCTAAAATATTAGTATTTTTTCTCGCCTAATCTTAATTTAAAATATAAATAACTTGATATATGTAAAAAAGAAAAAAAATCTTCACCCATTTTACTCCTTGTATTCATTAATATAAATTTTTATGTAAATTTATTTCTTATTCATCATAGATAAAATGAAAAAAATAATATATATATATATATATATATATTTATT